CCCCCCCCCTCCTCAGAAAATCGATTTTGAGATAAGCATATATTCTGAAAGCCCAAGGTGTCCTCTTTCAGATAGTGTGCGACTTTTTGCACTTTTCAAGGTTTTGTTGAAAATGGTTCAAAAAATCTGGTTTTGAAAACCCGCCATATTGTTCTAATTAATTAATATAACAGAATATATGTGTGTTTCTCATTAGCAACCCTGTAGAAGTTTGTTGATCACTGACAGATCCCGGTAACTAAGGAAAACTTCTGAAAAAGCCTTATATTTCTACTACTGCTTCCAGAAAACCACTATTTTCACTGCCAAAACCTTGAAAAGTGCAAAAAGTCGCACACTATCTGAAAGAGGACACCTTGGGCTTTCAGAATATATGCTTATCTCAAAATCGATTTTCTGAGGAGGGGGGGGGGGACAAAGCCCCTTAAAAAGTAATCTTTTCAAAAGGTTGTTTATATAAAAGTAACAAAAAACGTGAAATTTCTGAATAAAAATCGTTTTTAGACGTTTTTCAAACCTTCTATACTTTTCGTTTTGGTTTCCTTAAAATATCCGCAAATCGATTTAAAAATGGTCTAACTCTAATCAACTTTTCATACCCTATGGATGGTATATAAATGAACACGAACAAAAATTTACTGCATTTTTGCATTATCTGCACCTTGCATTGATGAAATTATGATGCATAATTAAGATAGTTAATTGGACTAATTCCTATTAATTGAAAAGTGGTTATGGTCCAGCTTTTGTTAGCAGCCGGTAAATACGTTATAAAATATCCTTTGCCGAATTTTACTGTGCAAACGTTTATACATCAATTCCTCACTAACGAAAATTATTATTAAAACTACTTATCTGGCATAATTGAACCTTGCATTTATTGTCAATTTATTTTACTATTTTGATGGAAACTCGAAATCCTACTATCTAAGATTGATATTTTTCATGCTGTCTCAAGACGGTTCATAAGAAGTTTATACACTTTAATTATGTTGTCTCGCATATACAAAGTGTTGATCTTCATCAATATCTCGAGAGGCAAACGCCGATGGTTATAAATATCATTGCCAAGGCATGAGAGACAACCAAAATCAATTATTATTTTATAAAACTCTAAATTCAATTTCATCATACAAAATTATGGTAATATTCGACCAAATTTTGAAACCAAAACAAAAAGATCTAAAAGAAAATATCGATTTATTATACATTAGATAAAAAAGCAGGCAGCATAAATACAATAAGTAATATATTGATGATAATCTATTTTCTGTTTTTTTCTTTGTTCCGTCCCCTTTTGCCAAATCTTGATTTTAATTTTGATTCTCAATTTTTAATTTTCGTTTTGTCTTGAATTTTTGTTTTCAATTTTCATCGTGTCTTTTCAGTCTTTTGAATATCACGGATTTTTAAAAATTTTTGCTTATACTTCTACATGCAGAGCCCTGATGAGTGCTTCAATGTTCAAATAAAAAACACGAAACGCGTCGACGAAATTAACTCTCCATTTCTTTTCAATTATTTGAGTCAAAGCAAATTTATTTATTCATTATTATTCAATTTTGATTTGATTATTGACTAGGTCGATTGCTGAAAAACAATCGTTGAAACTAGTAGATTGATTTCTATGAAAAGCACATAGATCGGTCTGTTTTCGGTTGATTTACTCGCATACTCGAGTAGCACCTGAGCTTTGTGAAAAGCTCAGGTTGAGTGTCCTTCGAGGGGCTGTGCGATATACTTTGGAAGTTGTTGGTTCACTAGAGTTACATAGAGCGATAAGCGTTATTTTGTACAAAGTTTGGAAACTCTGGTGAAATCAGCAGCGCATGATGTCCATTCTGTCCTTATAAATTACGTTATTTTTCAAGAAGATATATATGCGAACGGATAATATCTATAAATAATTTGAATTAAGCATTTAGATGATGTATTTTATATGAATTTCAAACGTGATAAGCATTATGCATTCAAAATATACAAATAGTTTGTCTTCGTTTTTGCAACGTGAGAAACACAAAGGTCTGCATTCATAAGTAATGAAACCAATCTGATGCTTTAGATTATTTTCAAATAATTAAAGTAGCGGGCTGTCAATTATTTTAAAAAATGAAGGAATGCAAGTTACTTTTATTTTCGAGAATACATAAATTCATGAGATGAGAATAATGGAAAAATAATGAAAATATCACGATAATTTTGGTTTTTTCATAGTCGATACAATCATTGGCTAGCAATTAATATTCATACTGCCCATGGAGAAAGAATGATGGTAAAAACCAGATTAAAATCGATTAAAAAATAGTTTCAAATCGATTACACTTATAAGCTTTTAATCAATTTTTAATCATTTTATAACCGATTATAGCTATAAATAACCGAAAGAATCAAATTTTCATTGGTTATTCTGATTAATCTCGATTATAATCGAAATATACTTGATGAGAAAACTTGATGTAAAATGAGCAAAATTGATTCAAGGTTTTTTATTTACTACGAACAAACATCAATTAAAATCAATGCTTTTTTCACAATGTGTAATCGATTATAATCGAAGTTAATAAGAATAATCGATGAAATGCTGACTTTTTTTGTTGTTTTCTGTAATAATTCTTTTCACGATACTCAAAAGTCGATTCAAATTCTTTGATTTTAATCAGTTTTTGGTCGATTTTCATATGCTTTTTTTCGGCCAATAATTTTACATAGGTATTCATCGAGTTAAATTCCTCGTCAAGCATCAGCCATGAGTATTTCAAAATCCGTTTCGAAGACACCGTTGCAAGATATTCAGAGACTGTTTCCATGTAGCCATGC